TGGTGGTGAGGAAGGAGCAGAGGAGGCAGCCTCTTGTTGACCTCTGTCACCCTCTTCTGGATGGTGCCTATTGAGATTGTTAAGTGGGAGGAAGATCTTACTCCTCGAACTCTGGTTGTAGAACAGGAGGATTTTGTTCTGTTTTCTAAGGGCTTTTGTTTTGTTTTTTAAAGAATTATTTAAGTTTGTTTGTTTATTTATTTATTTATTTATTTAAATTTGACCAGAGAGGGACAGAGAGAGAGAGAGAGAAAGTGAGAAAGCAAGCTACCAGGTCCAGGTGAACCGTAGTCAGCCATGTGGGTGTGCAGTGCCCTTAACCACCATGCCATCTCCTGGCCCCTCTAAGGAGGTTTTAAAGGAGCTGTTCTGGCCTCCCATGATTTCTTAAAGGCAAGTATGCTCTTTGGTATTTTCAAGGAAGACTTCTGCCTCTCTTAGAGCACAAGAGAAATGCCAGAGGGCTGAGGCAGCAGAAAAAGCTTGAAAGGAGGGACACCGAGTTTATTTATTTATTTATTTATTTATTTATTTAAATTTGACCAGAGAGGGACAGAGAGAGAGAGAGAGAAAGTGAGAAAGCAAGCCTCCAGGTCCAGGTGAACCGCAGTCAGCCATGTGGGAGTGCAGTGCCCTTAACCACCACTCCATCTCCTGGCCCCTCTAAGGAGGTTTTGAAGGAGCTGTTCTGGCCTCCCATGATTTCTTAAAGGCAAGTATGCTCTTTGGTATTTTCAAGGAAGACTTCTGCCTCTTTTAGAGCACAAGGGAAATGCCAGAGGGCTGAGGCAGCAGAAAAAGCTTGAAAGGAGGGACACCGAGGATGTGGCTGTGATGAGCCCAAGAGAGTACAAGGGAGGACAGTGCTCTCAACCAGATGGAGGTGAACCCAGAGAAGGCCAACTAGGGCCCTGGGAAGCTTCTCCCGATAGTGTCCTAAGTCCCAGATGAACTTAGTGGGGATGTTGGGAAATGGCAGAGGAAGTGGGTGAGGATAAGAGTCTTATAAAGTCCTGTCAAGAATCCAGTGGGCACGTCTATCCAAATAACCTGCTGATAAGGAATGCAGTCCGTACGCTACAATATGAGGCCACAAAGAATCTACAGAAGCTCCTTCCCTAGGACTTTCTCTGTGATCTCTCAAGAAATGAAGGACCCAGCTTCTGAGGACAGAGGGGCCTTCCCATCACGAAAGAGGAGTAGCCCTGCCCCACCTTCCTCCCAAGATGGTGACTAACAAGGTTAGAAAAACAAGGGATGGGTGCCGCCTCTGAGGTGGTGACCATTCAGGTGTCTGCCTGGCCATGACCCTCGCAGGAATTTAGGTGCCTCTTGGCATTGGCCGCTGGCTATAACCCTCCTGGTTGGACTGGGCACACAGGGTTGGACGGAATTCCCCAGTGCCCAGCACAGCCCTAAGCTGTATGAGGTCACCGTGGAACCGCAGGTGTGGACCCACTCAGCCTCTGTAGCCAAGGCTGTTGAGCCATAATCACAGTCACACACTCATTCCTCACTCACACAAGAGGTTAAGAACATTCCCTCGTGCCAACTATAAAATTAAGAAGAGAAAAACAAAAAGATCAAACTCGAAATCTTGGGATTTTCCCTGATAGACGAGGTCAGTAACCCACTGATTGATATCCCCAAACAAGGAGGACAAAGGGTAGAAGTGATATCGTCTGAAAGAATGCGAAGAGAATAGTTAAAGCAACAGAAGAGACAAACCCATAAGAGAGTCCACCTGACCCCAGGCCCCTGCGCCTGGGGGCCAGGAGAAATAAGCCCACTATGCCACTCTAGTCCCCAGGTTCAAAAGAACCAACCTGGCCACAGGGTCTCGCGTCTGGGGGCCAGGAAGAATCAGCCCTTTATTCCCCTGTCTAGTCCCAAGGTTTTCGCTTTTGGTGGCCAGGAGGAAACAGCTCAGTAGGTCACTCTAGTCTCCAGATTTCTGCGTCTAGAGATTAGGAGGAAGCAGGCTATATCTTTCTCTAGTCCCAGGGTTACTGGGGACTAGGAGAGAACAGGCTACTAGCTTTCACTTAGCCTTCTGCTTCCAGCAACGTCTTGGTGGAATCGGAGTCCCTTCACTGCGTCCAGTCAGCCCTGACTCCCCTCATCAGGAGGCATCTTTTTCACCAACCCTGTACTCACCAGTTGACCAGTCCCAAAGAAGACACGAAAGCAGATAAGATCACAGGAAGAAGGACACTTCCTGAGGTCTTTCTAATTTCACTAGGACTCCACAATTTTTGAAGATACCAACTGGTGCCTCCCTCCTGGTTATCAGTAATCCTGAAAGGTGGCTCTGGGTCCTCGAAAGACCCAGGTGGCACCTCCCCTAGAGTACCTCCAGGTATTTGGCAGCCAACCCCGGTGAGGCCACACTCCTTGGATGCCTCACCCAAGTATGGGTAGGCACGGACTCGCTGGGGCCTCCAAATGTTGTAATCAAATCAGCGAGAAATAGGAGGCCATCCAGACATAGCCACTTAGAGGTTTCTTGCAGTGGCTGCAGGAGGACTTGTGTCTCTCAAAGACCCCACACCCCCAAATGACAAATCACAATCATTTCTGGGTCGATGTGGCAATTACAGTGGAAAATGGGGCGGGGGTGGAGAGGAAAGGGAGTGGGGTTCCCATGTGAAAGCAGTTACAGAGGCCAGATCACGCAAGTTAATAATTTCTAAGGGCACTCTCCACCTTTGTGTAATGTTCCCATGGCTCCAAGTGGGGGTCTGGTGATTGGTGGTTACAATGCTAAGGGACATCTACACAAAAAGGTTTCAGGCTAGTTAGCAAATACAGTAAGACCGTTAATCACTTTGTCTACTCTGGGCAAAAGGAGGAAGCAAGTATACACACACACACACACACACACACACACACACACACACACACCTGGCATGATTTTCAAGTCACCAGGTCTGAGATTCAAACCCTGGTTGGCCATGTGGGAATCAGCACCTTAACTACCACACCTGCCAGCTCCAGGAAGCAATATCTTTCATTTTTTTTAAGAGAAATTTTTGCTATAGGGTGTGTGTGCTCATTGGAAAGACAGAGAGAGAAAGAGAAAAATCACCCTCCAGGGGTGATGGCCATGCCACAATCTCTTCTCCTCCATTCTCCTCTTGGGATTTTGGGCACACATGCACACATGCCTGGCATATTTCAAGCTGCCAGGTCTGGGACTTGAACCACGGTCGGCCATGTGTGAGTCTAGTGCTTTAACCACTATGACACCTGCTAGCCTCAGGAAGCAGTATCTTAATGATCATTAAAAGGGGCCAGCTAGTGGCATAGTAGTTAAGGTAGCTGAGTCCCACATGGCTGACTGTGTAGTTTGAGTCCAGGACCTGCCATCTTGAAAAAACATATATGGACGTGTGTGCATGCCCAAAATCCCAAGAGGAGAATGGGGAAGAGATTGTGATGTGGTCATCATTCCTGGGGAGTGCTTTCTTCTTCTCTCTGTCTCTGTCTCTCTCTGGCAAGTGCACGTACACTATAGCAAATTAAAAAAGAAGAACAAAAACATGAAACAGGAATCTAACCTGATTTTTTTTTAGAGAGAGATTTTTTGCTAAAGGGTGAGAAATCACCCCCCAGGGGAGATGGCCATGCCACAATCCCTCCTTCTCCATTCTCTTGCAATTTTGGGCACACATGCACATGCACTTGGCATGAGTTTTAAGCCACCAGGTCTAGGACTCAAACCGTGGGTGACTATGTGGGAATCCAATGATGTAACCCTTACACCATCCGCTGGTCCCTGAACTTGATTTAAAAAAAATATTTTAGGGACCAGCAGTTGGCGTAATGACTATGTGGCTGGACTTTCATGTAGTTGACTGTGGTTTGAGTCCCGGACCTGGTAGCTTAAACTCACACTGGACGCGTGTTTGTGCATAACCAAGATCTCAAGAGGAGAATGGAGAAGGGATTGCAGTGTGGCCATCCCCCCGGGGGGTGATTTCTCATTTTCTAGCTCTCTGTCTCTTTCTGGCGAGCGCACACGCCCTACAGCAAAAACCTCTCAGACCAAAAAATAAAAAATAAAAATAAATAAAAATTTCTTTAATTGCCAGAGGGCATGTGCACACCCTGGAGAAAAAGAGTGTGAATGAGTGAGACAGCAGCACCCCCTAGTGGGTGTGGTCATGCCAGGCTTCCCCGACCTCCCCTTGATCCTGTCAGAATTCTGGGCACACACGCACACGTGCCCAGCTTGTCTTTTGAGCCCCTGGGGCCAGAACTTGAACAGTATTGAGTCAGATGGGATCTGGCTCCTGAAGCACTGTGCTTAACTGCTACAGCACAGGGCCCGATTTTCAGTCCCAGCTCACTTCTTACTAGCTTTGTGACCATGTCATTTAACTTTAAAATGGGAATGATAATACATTGGGTATAGTTAGAATTAAATACCATGGAGTAAAGCACTTAGTACCGGGAGCCTGGCTCTTAGTAAATACATAGTAGCTATTCACAAATGCTATCAGTGCTTTAAGCAGACATTTGTTACATGTGAAGAATGTACCAGAGAGAACTGTGGTTTGTGTCTAATGTAGGAGGTGTCAGAATAGGAGGGACACAGGAAGCCAGAGTGTAGCTAACTCTAGATATCTAGGTATCTGCACATGTCCAGTTAGTGTGCAGTATACTCAGTGTTCATTATGTGTCAGGCACCTTGCTGAGTTTTTATGCATATCAGTTCATTTAATCCTCAGAGTGGCCCAATGAGTTTTATTTAATAAATGAAGATAGAGGGGCCAAAGAGGTAAGAAATTTAAGAAATTTGCTCAAGATCACTTAAAAGAGTTACCATGATAGTTACATTAGCGAATCTATCATTTCTGATTTCTCAGTTGCTTCCCATCATTGGTGTTTTGGGGAGGAAATGAACTACCCTGTAATCAGTTTATGCATTTAGCTTGTGAAGCTAATTCACCTCATCTACATAGTGTCAGCCTTACACTGACCTTCTTTCTCCGCAGGCTGCCTATTCCCAAACTTGAAGACACCATTAGAAGATACCTCAGTGCACAGAAGCCCCTGTTGAATGATGCGCAGTTCAGGTAAATGCTGAGAACCCTGAGTGACCGTGGTTGGGTGGTTCAAGAGAGGTGGGCAAGTAGGGGCGGACCAGCTTCAGAAGTGTCTTGTGACTTGAACCTGGACTCTAGTTTATACATTTTCAAGTTTAGGAAGTAGATTTTCTTTTTTTTTAATTTAATTTTATTTATTATTATAACCTTGTTTATATTACATTGAATCACATATAACTTTACAGTGTATTACATTTCTTTTTCCAGAAGGAATACTATGCATATCAGTCAATACAAAGACATTAAAATCCCCATCATCATCAAATAGCTTATCATTTTTTTCCAGATTATTATTATTAAGGAAATAGATTTTCATTTACAAAAGACTACGTGGGAGTCCAGTGATAAAGCCATTATGCTAACTACTGGTCCTACTTATTTATTTTTTTGGAGAGATTTTTGCATGTGCATTCACCAAAGAGATAGAGACAGACAGAAAAAGAGAAATCACCCCACAGGGAGGATGGTTATACCATAGTTCCTTCTCCTCCATGCTCCTCTCAGGATTTGGGGTATACATGCACATGTGCCTGGCATGAGTTTCAAGCCTCTGGGTCCAGGACTTGAATTGCAGTTGGCCATGTGGGAATCCAGCTATGTAACCATTACGCCATCTGCTGGTCCCAAATTTCTGTTGTTTGAAATCACCCAGTTTGTGGTACTTAGTTATGGCAGTCCTAGTAAACTAATCCAATATGGAATTGGAAAAATAACACCAGATATTGTAAAAAGCTGGATTGCGTTGAGCTCTCATAGCCTAGTGTAGCACCTCTTTTCCATGACAGAAATTAATTTGCTCAGATAACTGGCATTGTCATTAGAATCACAGAGTCCTTCACTGGACATGTATGAGAAACAGATGAATTGTTTATAATCTAGTCCTCTGCTTTTACATATTTCTTATTAGTCACTTGAAGCTTCTCTTGATGTGGTAATGAATTAATACCTACTAGTTATTCAGAGAGTATTGTGTTTTAGACTGTCCTAAATCCTTAGTTTTATAAATACTTTTTAATGTCATAGGTGACACTATCTCTATTTTATACATCAAGAAACTGAGACCTAGGGACCAGCAGTTAGCGTAATGGCTACGTTGCTGGACTCCAACATAGTCGACCATGGTTCGCATCCCAGACCCGGTGGCTTAAACTCACACCGGGCACGTGTGCGTGCGTGCCCAAGATCCTGAGAGGAGAATGGAGGAGAAGGGATTGTGGCGTGGCCATCCCCCCTGGGGGGTGATTTCTCGCTTTCTATCTCTCTGTCTCTCTCTGTCTGTCTGGTGAGCACATGCGCCCCATACTAAAAACCTCTCAAAAAAAAAAAAGAAAAAGAAAGAAAGAAACAGACCTAGAGAGAATAACTTGTCCAAGGTCACACAGTTTGAAAGTGACCGGGCTAGGATTCAAACCTTGCTCCTTTTGACTCCAAAGCTCATGTTCTTTTCTTCACACCAACTATCTCCTAGAGTATAGATTGTTTTGTGAGGTGGTGACTGATCTTCCTGATGAATTAGCTTAAGATGATATCCTAGATTTACCATTTTAGGTCAGTTCCTGTTCTGATCAGAGGTACTTTCTAATCTCATCCCCAGGTTTTATGGATTTACTGTTGGGAGCCCAAAGTTCTCTGTATGAATTCTTGGCAATGAACTGAAAAAATCATATTTCTGGGGCCAACAGATGGCATAGGGGTTAAGGGCACTGGACTCCCAAGGGCCGACCGTGGTTTGGGTCCTGGGCCTAGCTGCTTGCTTTCTGGCTTTCTCTCTCTCCCCTCCTTGCTCCATCCCTCTCTGTTCAATTTTTTTTTTTTTTTGAAGGTTTTTTGCATAAGGACACGTGACTTAACAAGAAGGCCAGAGAGAGACAGACAGAGAGACAGAAAGTGAGAAATCACCCCCCAGGGGGGATGGCCACACCGCAATCCCTTCTCCTCCATTCTCCTCTTGGAATTTTGGGCACACATGCACATGTGCCCAATGTGAATTTAAGCCACCGGGTCCAGGACTCAAACCACAGTTGACTACATGGAAGTCCAGCGATGTAGCCATTATGCCATCTGCTGGTCCCTCTCTGTTCAAATTAAATAAGTAAATAAAGTTAAATAAAATAATTTTTTAAAAAATATCATGTATTCCCTACTGTGGTTTGATTCTATCTTTCCTTGACCATTTCAGGAAAACAGAACAATTTTGCAAGAGTTTTGAAAATGGGATTGGAAAAGAACTGCATAAGCAGTTGGTTGCTCAGGACAAGCAGAATAAACATACAAGCTACATCTCAGGTAGGTAGTTGGACGGAGGGCATGACTTTTTTTTTCCCCCAGAACCCTCCATAATGGAACATCAGGCATCTTCTTTCCTGTTGTGATCTCAAAAATATTATTTTGATGAGGTCAGCATTGAAGTAACGTCTCATCTTCTCTTCCTGAGGTAAATATTAAGGCTGAGAATGAGTTCCTCCTTACTAAGCTGTTGACTGGAGTCCGTATTCAAGAGCAATGGCTTGCCTTCTGGTAGGTGGGATCAGAACCTTTGATTAGGTTCTGTCTGAAAGGATGCAGGATTAAGTCCTATGTCCTGTGAGTATCATTCTAGGTTCCCTGCGGTCTGGCCTAGCTGCCCCCTCAAGCTTCAGCTCACCCTCATTATTCCCTCAGCCTGTGTGTCCGTCATCTCTGTCTGCCTCCATGTTGTTCTCACTGCCTGGCACATTTTTCCTTTAAGGACCAGGTAGAGATCCAGCCACAGTGGTATGCACTGCTAAGATGCACTGTTCCACAGGCTGGGACCACCTGGGAGGCCTGGGTTCAATTCCTGATCCAACATAAAGACCAGGTGCAGTGGTACAGAAGTGAGGCAGGAGGATCAGGAGGTTGAGGCAGGCCTGGGAAACATAGTGAGACCATCTCTTGGGTTGTCGGGAGAGTCATGATACATTTTTGCATAGAAAAACACAGAAAAATGCGTCATGACTTTCCTGATGACCTAATTAAAAACAAACAAAAAAAAGCCATTCGTGCACCCCAGCTGGGAGACTAAGGCAGGAGGACAGTGGCTTGTGAAACCCTGCCTTTCAAAAAAAGATCTGGGACCAACAGTTAGTGTAATGGCTATGTCGCTGAACTCCCAAGTAGCCGACAGTGGTTCAAGTCCCGGACCCCGTGGCTTAAACTCATGCTGGGCATGGGGGGGTGGTGGGAGAGGAGTGGGGGGGCGTGCCCAAGATCCTGAGAGGAGAATGGAGGAGAAGGGATTGCGGCATGGCCATCCTTCCTGGGGGGTGATTTCTCACTTTCTCTCTGTCTCTGTCTTTCTGGCGAGCGCACATGCCCTATAGCAAAAACCTCTCAAAACAAATTTTTTTAAAAAAGATTCAGATGGGGAGGTTTTTATGTGAACTCTTTTCTGTCCTTTTCCTCCTTCACTCAGAATTGGTTTCTTCTACCTCGGTTCCTACAGCATGGCTTTTGATTTGATTTCATTTATGTTTTTATCAAGGCTATTCAAGCACATAGTTTAAATAAGCAAATAGTTCTATTTGGCTTGTTACAGAAAACAGCATTTATTTCCTGGCCCTCCCTTAATTTCTCACTTTTAACTCTTGTCTTCTTTCTTTTTCTTCCTTTTATATATATATTTTTTAAGGTTTTTGCCATGAGGCCAAAAAGAGAGACAGAGAGAGAGAAAGTAAGAAACCACCCCCCAGTGGGGATGGCCACACTGTAGCCCCTTCTCCATCCTCCTCTTGGGACTTTGGGCACGCTTGCACAGGTGCGATTTTCAAACCACTGGGTCCAGAGCTCAAATTGGGGTATCCCTAAAATATGCACTTATGTGACTACATCTTACGTTTTTTAGTTTCGACAGTTATCTACTGACATCTCATTGTGGATTAGAGTTCAGTAGCCATTTCTGTCCCCACCACATGTATGTGTATCCATGCACACTTCCTGTCCCTTCATTTTACCAGGACAGTTATTCGTCATTTCGGTTAACTCAGTATCTAACGTTTACACTGTTAACGATCATGTAAATACATGATCAGCTAAGTTGTGTAGTATACTGGGATGTTTGTCCTTTCCTATACAAACTTGTTTTCTGTGAAGTTAATAATAATTTCATCCTTTATTTAGTTTCCTATGTGCTTAATTTATCCCCAAGTTCTTCCTAAGCTATCTAAAACCTCCCCTCAACACATGAAAGCACATTAGACCTTTTATCAGTTTTGATCTTCTGGAGGAAGTCTCTTCTAGAACTTCTGACTAGCTCTAGTCTAGATTTGTAAACCTCTTGGCATACTTAGAAGCTGTTTTCTTGGGATCTTTCATCACTATCTGGGACATCTCTTCATTTCTCATGTTGGGATTCCTATTTCTTTTTTTTTTTTTTTTTTGCTATAGGGTGCATGCACTCACCAGACAGAGAGAGACAGAGGGACAGAAAGCGAGAAATCACCCCCGAGGGGAGATGGCCATGCCGCAATTCTTTCTCCTCCATTCTCCTCTCGGGGTCTTGGGCACGCATACACACGTGCTCAGTGTGAGTTTTAAGCCACCGGGTCCGGGACGCGAATTGTGGTCGACTATGTGGGAGTCCAGCGACATAGCCATTACGCTAACAACTGGTCCTGGGATTCCTATTTCTTATATTCCATATTATCTTTTTTCTTGGTTTCTTCCTTATTTTGGTAGAGCATGCACTCTTTGTTGTCTGGAAGCAGAACATATAAAGCAAAGATCTAAGACTGCTCTCATCCTTCATTGATAATTTGTTTGACCAGGTTGGAAATCATTTTCTTATGGATTTCAAAGTCTTTGCTCCATTGTCTTTGAGCATCCAGTGTTGCTGTTGATAAATCTAATGTTATTCAGAGTCTTGATCCTTTGTTACTTTTGTCTCTAGAAGATTTTAGTCTTCATTTTATCTCCAGTGTTCTGAAATTTCAGATAATGTGTTTTGGTATGGTTCCATTCGTATCCATTTTGTTAAGACTAAGTCCTTTGAATCTGGAAATTTGTGTCCTTCAGTTTCTGGGATATATATATATATACATATATATACATATATATGATTCCCTACTGTTTCTTTTTCTGGAACTCATTCAGATGTAAAATTTCTGGGTGTGATCCTCTAATATTGTTACCTTTTTACTTATATTTGACATCTGTTATTCTTTTTGTTCTCTTACCTGGGAGATTTAATCTTCCAACCCTTCTATTGAATTTCTAATTTCCACTTTTCTGTTTTCTTCATTTATAAGATCTCTTGTTCTTAGTATGTTCTTTTTTTCTTCTTCTTCTTTTTTGAGAGATTTTTGCTATAGGATGCTTGCGCTTGCTGGAGAGATAGAAAGTGAGGAATCACTGCCCAGGTGGGTGCCTGTACCACAGTCTCTTCTCCTCCATCTTCATCTCGGGATCCTGGGCAAGCACAGACACACACACAGCGTGAGCTTTATGCCGCCAGGTCCGGGACTCAAACTGTGGTCGACTATGTGGGAGTCCAGTTACATAACCATTATGCCACCTGTTGGTCCCAGGGATAAACAATTTTTTAAAAGAAGAACATATTGGGGCCAGCATATGGCATAATGCTTCTTTCCTGTTTGTTTTGTATTCTTTTCTTTGTCAGGTGTCTTGTAATCCTTCTCTGTTGTCTTAGATTTGAGTGAGAGATTAAGAGTCTATTGGAAGAAAGCTCTGTGAATGATGGTGGCAGTTACAGGCGTCACTGTCATGTGATCTGGCTAAACTCTTTACTCAGGTTGCCCCTATTGGTAAAGTCTTTGGGTTAGAATCCTCAAGGAAGGATTTTCCAATAAGATAACAAAAGGTTGCTAGTGTTGTAGAACAGGATAAAAGAAGAAGGTTTGAGATCTCAGCTGTGACGTCTGTCTCCTAGTTTCACTTTTTCTAGAGAATGAAACTATCAGTAAGTCTTCCACCAGTGTGGGGCGGGAATCTTGGTGTGGTGGTGGTGATCTAAGTAAATTGATATATTTAGGCTGCCAGTTACCAAGCCCTCTGGGTTCTGCAGTATAAATCATGTTATTTCTTGGCTTTTTCTCCTGCCAGCTTATGATTAGCTTTCTTGAGTCTGTTTTAGTCATTACCAGTTGCCTGCTTCCCAACTTCTAGTGCTTCCTCTCTCCTCCACTGTTCTCTTCACAGTATTAGATTATGTCTCTTTTACTAAAGGGGGAATCTGAGACCTGAGTCTATGTCTTCTTTCATCAGATGGATCTCACTCACCAGTACTTCTTTTCTCTTACCATTTTAGTGCACTGTATTTTGTTTTCATTCTGTTTCTCTCCTTCATTAGAGTTTTTCCGAATCAGAGACCATGTTCTGTGGCTCTCTAACTTCCTTAGACCTGGGCCTCGTACAGCACTGATTCTCAAGGAATGAAATAGAATGAATGTTTGTAGACTTTGTCTATGTTTGCTAATACCACTAGGAACTTTTCTTGAAGATACCTACTCTGATAAATATTGCTTCTGGAATTCTTACAGGCAAAAACTTCACAGAATGTACAGGGCTAGTTTGCCTCATCCACTGCACTACAGTTACTCAAACTGCTTTTTGAGCACGTCTTTTTTTTTTGAGAGAGAAATTTTTGTTAGAAGGTGCATGTGCTTGCCAGAGAGACAGAGAGGAACAGAAAGTGAGAAATCACCCCCTCAGGGGAATGGCCACACTACAATCCCTTCTCCGTTCTCCTCTCAGGACTTGGGGTGCACACACACCAGGCATGAATTTTTTTGAAAAGGGTTCTTTTATTGAACTTGAATTAATTAACTAATTAATTTTAATTTGACCAGAGAGGGACAGAGTAAGAGAGAGAGAGGGAAATCAAGAGAGTGAAAAACCAGGAGAGTGAGAAACCAAGCCACCATGTCTAGGAATCAAACTGCAGTTGGCCCTGTGGGAGTCCAGCATCCTTAACCACCACACCACCTGCCGGCCCCCCAGCATGAATTTTAAGCCACCAGGTTCAGGACTTGAACCGCAATTGACTACATGGGTGTCCAGCAATGTAACCACTACACCATCTGCTGGTCCCAAGCACTTCTTAAATAATCTAGCCATAGAAGAACAGAGAAGACTTCCGCCCTTATTCTAGGGAGCCTGCAAGTATGAATATTGCCCTTGAAAGGAGATGAAGTGAGAGAAACCAAAGGAGACGGGGAGGGAATAAGCTATTTTGTTCCAGCATGAATGTAAGTGAGGTGCTTTATTCCTTTACGAACCAAGAAAAGAAGCAGACCGAGGAAGGAAAAGTGATTACTATACATCAGGGAAATGCAGATCAAATACCCAGTGATATACCACCTCACACTTAACAGAATGGCTCTAATCAAAAAGGCAAGTGTTGCTGAGGATGTGGAGAAATCAGAATCCTCAACTGCAGCTGATGAGAATGATGTAGCCAATTTGAAAACATGCAGGCTGTTCCTAAAAAGGCTAAACAGAGACTTAATACATGACCTAGTAATTCTACACTTAGCTATATCCACAAGAGAATTAAGAACATATGTCCAGGAACCAGAAGATGGTGTAATGGTTGGATCACTGGACTCCCACACAGTCAACTGCGGTTGAGTCCTGGACCTGGCAGCCTAAAGCTCATGCCAGGCGGGTGTGTGTGAATGTCCAAGATCCCAAGAGGATAATGAGCTTCTAGCTCAGACTTTGGCCCCATGTGTGCAAGTTGATATGATGGAAGTCAAAGTGAAAAATAATAATAATAATAACAGGAAGGAATACAAAGGCATCACAAGAAAAGGAGAGATTCCATAAAAACAGTGACTCTGGTTCTTCAAAGACATTCCCAAGAAATGTTGTTAAGGGAGGTAGACCTAAAATCACATCAAAGAACTTTGAGAAAAGTGCCACAAAATCTGGGGAAAAGGGTGTAAAGCAGTTCAAGAATATGCAACAAGGGGACAAAGGACCTAAGAACAAATTCCAACAGGCAAATAAATTCAACAAGAAGAGAAAATTCCAGTCAGTCAAAGTGATGACTCAGTGGCCAAGAAACCCAAATGGGATGATTTCAAAAAGAAGTAAGAACTGAAGCAGAGCAGGCAACTTAATGAAAAAACTAACTATGACATTGTCACTCAGTCCAAGCAGACCTGGGAGATTTTAAGAGGGAAAGACTGTGACAAAGAAAAAAGAGTGAAGTTGATGAATGACTTACAGAAATTGATTCAAGGAAAAATTAAAACTATTACATTTGCAGGGACCAGCAGTTAGCGTAATGGCTATGTCGCTGGACTCCCACGTAGTCGACTGCGGTTTGCGTCCC